ATGCATATCATAAATTATTAAACTTGGTCGATTTTAAATAATTTGGAATAATAAATATTGTGTATTATTTACACTCACGTGACGACCTATGCCTGGGAATAGGAAAATTTGTACTATTGAATTTTAATGTGAAAATATTTATATTGAACTTGTTAAAAGAAAACATGTAACACGTCGTTACCCGAGTTACCAAGTACATGTCCATCCGGTGTTAGCTTTAGGTTGGCCATCGTGAATTGGGTTGCTTTATACTTGGGCCTTGTGCTCTTGTATACTATTCATACCGTGTTTATTTTGACCTGAACAGGTGTGTACATTTCTTCATTCAATGTACTTACTCTTTAATTATAATAATAATAATAATAATAATAAACTAACACGCTAAGAAAATCTGCACTGGTCTCTCTGAATTTTGGTTCTCCAAAAATGTCACTTCAACTTTTTCAAGAGTCACGGCAACAATTCTAAAAGCCACGTCAGCAGTTTTTGCTATTCAGAAACAGAACTTGAATGTTAGATAATATAGATAGGTTAGATGTGATGAATGATGGTAGGAGTTGGGTATTTATAGAAGAGAAATGATTTTTAAATTTTAAATTTAAATTTATTTTTTTTTTTAAAAAAGTTAATTGTTTTTCTTCAAATTATCGCCGTTAAAGCACTGTTTGTATCAGCCAAATAGTGCCTTAGGCCAAATGCACTGATTTTATTTTTTATTTTTTGAAAAAAATTTAAAAAAAATTTTGGACAAACAGTACGTGCCTAAACAATATATATTTTATTTAATGAATTGTATTTTATTTAATTTTTTAAAAAATTGAGTTTAAAATAACCTATTTTTTGGTTTTTTCCAAAAAAATCATGTCATTGCAGCTTGGAATTTAAAAAATAATAAATAAATAAATAAAACTTTGCCCAAAATGACGTCGTATTGGCAAAGGAAAAGACAAAAAAATAAAATCCTGATTGAGCTCGGCTCGCGCTTTTGTGCGAGCCAGCGGCTAGCCATTGTAGGCCCAATACATTTATGCAAGGCCGCTGCAGTGCAAAATGAGTCTTACTCTAGCCAAACTTGGGTTTGCAGTCCTCCACATATATGTCCCATGTCTTTATATAAGCATGTGCGGGTGAATTGGGCAGTTGGAGCCTTAGGCAAGTTAAGGGGGTTGCCCAAGGCACCCAACCAATAATAAGGTCTCAAAAATTTTCATTTTTTTTTATTTACATATTTTAACTTTCCAAAAGTAATTATTTTTTTCAATCATTAAACCTCAACCATGTTTGGTAAGTTTTTATGTTTGATGTTTTTTTTTTTGTTGCGGACCTGGTACTGTAGCTTGTTGCCGGACCGCAACATGTTTGATAACTTGGGCCATGCTTCCAACAGTATAGAAACATCTCAAAAGAAAGAAAGAAAAAAAAAAAAAGGAAACAAGAAATTGGTGTTTCCTGTTTTGGGCCTAAAGTGTTTCGGCTCATTTGAGCCCAAATTTCTCTCACCAACGTAAGTCTTTTTCTTCCAATGTAGTTTTTCAAATCCCATTTGGATTCATTTCCACCACATTCCTTGGTTTCTACCTCAGATCCAATTCTTGGCATGACCTAGTGGACTATTGTGCCAACCACAGAAAGTCTATCCAATTTAGAGATAAACTACTTGTCTAGAAGAATTTCAGACCAATGAAAAATCAGCAGTGTATCTAATTATCGATGACATAAATTTGGATAGGCTTTGGACTCCCTGTCAGCTTTATTTCTGGCAGTTGTTAGCCTTTGTACACATTGATGTCTATTGTCCGAAAAATCTATAATATCTCGGTTACTGTACACCTGGTATTCCATTGAATGTAATGATGGAGTATTCCATTATTTGGATTCTACGTCACATGGGCGGTTGGATCCTTAGACGGCAAGGCCTCAATTTTATTTTATTTTTTTTTATTTTTTTTATTTCTTTATACTATATCCTTTCTAAAATTTTCTTTATACTCTAGACAATATAAACTATAAACGCCCCAAATTTTTTTTTTTTCATTTCCTTATATTATAACCTTCTTATAAAATTTAGGATTTAGTGTAAAAAAATCCCCCTAAACTATTGCCCTTTTACAAATAACCCCACTAAACTAAAAACTGCCTCATGAATTATTGAAGTATTAATTTGTTGCAATTAAAAACAAATTCATTACAAAAAAACTATTTTACGTACCCTTTCTCATTAAAATTTTCATTTCTTATTAAATTATTTTTATTATGTTTTCTCTTATGTAAATATTAATTATAAATATTTACCTTAATTTTATTTTTAGTATCAATTTATCATAAAAATGAAAAAAAATAGATTTGTAACTACCATTTTCTAAATTGAATAACTTATTATTAAATTTTTATTATTTATAATAAAACGTATTATAACCAATTTAAACATGTTTACCGTAAAAAAAATATTTCTTTTTTCATATAATATATTGATGAAAAATTAATAAAATACTTTTGAAAAAAATACCTTCTTTTCATGTAATATATTCATTAAAAATTATAAATTAATTAATTTTTAAAAAAATTATACTAAAATTTTTATTTAAATAATTAATTAAAAAAATTAAAGGTAAATTTATGCAAATTTAATGAAAAATATCTATTCAAATTAGTATGAATTTTTTTATAATTTATTTAGATAAGAAAAATATATTAATTGTAATTCAATAAGAATAGGCATTATGGTCATTTAATGAAATATAGTATAGTCCTTGGGGTATGTTGCAAAACACCTCCTAGAACTATGTTTGAATTTGTAAATAACCCCCTTGAATTATATTTTGTGTTCTATCTTTATCTTACCTCTTTTTTTTTCTCTCTCAGCTCCTTATTCACGTTTCTTTTTTCTCCATAATTTATAAAATTTTCTATATTCTTATTTTAATTTTAATTTTTTTTTGTTTTTTTTTTTTTCCTTCTTATTTCTGACATATTTTTCTTCATTTTTCATTAAGTATAAGTTGTATAATTATAAGATCAATTATGTGACAAAAAAGATTAATTGAATCGACTATATATATATATATATAAGATATTAAAATATCACATTATATTTTTTGACAAGGTCTCAAATTATATTGCGCCGCCTTTGTTACATCATATCCTTTTCTTGGCATGACTTAGTGGACTATTGTGCCAACCACTTAAAATCCCACAGCAGGTCTATCCAATTTAGAGATAAACTACTTGTCTAGAAGAATTCCAGACCAATGCAAAATCAGTAGTCTACCTAATGATCAATGACATAAATTTTGAAAGAGATGGGCTTTGGGCTCCCAAACTCCCAGTCAGCTTTATTGCTGGCAGTTGTTAGCGCTGTGGGAAAACTCTATAATATCTCAGGTACTGTACACCCGGTATTTCATTGAATGTAATGATGAAATCTACCTATAGATGATCTAACGTTGGAATACCGAGTAGATATCCGGATACTGATAGATGATAGAACGGTTGGAATACCCGAGTAGATACCCAGGTACTGACTTTTTGTAGAAATTTGTTTGGCACTTGATTTATCTATGTACTTAGGGTATGTTTGAATTGTCTTTTTAAACGCTGCTTTTAATTTTTTGGGATTAGAACTTGTTTTGAGTCGTGTTTGATTAGTTTTTTAAAAGAGCTTTTGATTTTTAGAAGAGCGTTTTGGAGAAACTGGATACCCTCAACTTTTCCTAAATGTATAAAACTTTTCTCTCTTTTATACCAGATGCATGGACTGATTCCGTTTGTCTGAGCATAAAATATTTTTGTGTTTGTGTTTTCTTCATAAAATATTTATGAAGAAAAAAAATATTAAAACTTAACAAAAATAATTTATTCATCAATTTTTCATAAACTATTTTATTTTACATGTCTTACCCAATGAACTCAACCTAAACATCAACCCCAACCTCAACCTAAACATTTGCGAAACACTGAAAAATAAAAATAAAAAATATATATTTTACTTGAAGAAAGAAAATATTTTACGTCCAAAGAAATGGAGCCTCAGTGTTAGGGTATCCGATTAACCTCTTGAAAGAATATAGGATATTCGTGTTTCATGAAAATAAATAAATAAATAAAATAAACTTAAAACATATATCTTTGTTTTACTAGTACATATATTTTCCATGGTTAGAAGATATTTCATAATATTAAGTATAACCAGTAGTGTTCAATTGTTTCCTGTGAGCAAGAAATTATATACTCACTTTTAATTGTAGCCTTAGAATCTAACCCAACGCCAGTTAGTTAATTTACTTTTATTATATTTGTTTTAAGAAACTTACATTTTCTTTTCATACCATTAAATATCGTAAAAGAAAAATGACTGAATTAGGCAATTTATTAAAGGAAACAAGAATAAAATAATTTGGCTACTTTTTGCCAAATTCGCAAGCAGCCACTAAGGCAAAGTAAAATTAATCTAAAATTAAAAGTCATCATTTTTAATTTTTTTTTCCATACTTTATCAATTATATTGATAAATTATGAAAAACATAGGATTTGTAATGATATTATACATATTTTGGCACGTTTTTACCGATCAACACTTTGAACATTTAATTTACCAAAAAAATATTAAAAAATAAAAAAATACTGAGACCATTTAGATAGATATATAACAATATATTAAGAGTTGTCTTGCATGATTTTTCTAAAAAATTTATGAAGCCAATAGTAGTCTCCTAATTCTAAATTACTTGCTGAACAAATTCAAAATATTTTATTAAGCGGAGTATAAAACATGGATCAATCTTGAAATTTGAGTTTTGATTATAATTAATATTTCTTAAACAATCTTTATTTAATGGTGATTTTATTTATCTTTTTGATTAACTTTTTTTGGTTTATGTTACTGTTTGCAAATTTATTGAATAAACAATTGGTTGTGATGGGGAAGTATTTTTTTACTGGATTATTTTATTTCTATTTTTTTTATTAAATTGTCTAATTCTGTCATTTTTTGAGAAAGAATATGAAAAGAAAATAATATTTTGTTAAAATGAAGGAAATAAAAGTTAATTAAGTAATTGTCGTAGGATTAAATCCTGATGTTACAATTAAAAGTGAATATATAATTTCTTACTCTCAGGAACAATTGAACCCTAAACTTACTGAAATAAAAAATTACTAGAAATTTTCAAATGTTACAGAGATTTATATCCCTTCTAAATCCGTGGGAAGCTTCGCCACCATTTCCGTTGTTTTACTGCTCCGGGTTCTTCTTGATTTGAGTTTCTTTCCTTGGTAGACTTCCTCTCGGGTTCATTATATTGTGCTAAGTATACCGAAACAAGCTCCGTGTGACAAAATTTCCCCAATTCCCTCGCTATTTCTATAACATTGCAGCTTCCTGTAATTGTAATTCTATCATCGCCTGGTCCTGGAAAGACACCATGAACTCCTACACAGTTCAACCAGAAAAGGTAAACAAAACCTTTAATATTGAAGTGTCTGTGTGTGTTGTGTGTTTCCCTTCTGAAAACAGGGTGTTGAAGTTATACCTGGAAGAGTACTAACTTTCTCTAAGCAAAAGTCCTGTAAAAACAAAGAGAACATATATGGAATTGGCAGAGAATTGGTTAAGGTTTTGTCGTTTGGCAACTAAGTGAGAGGGAGAATAACAGACACCACAAAATCTAGATATATAGACCATGATTGAAGATGGCAAAAGGCACTAATCATGTAAAATTATTCAACAGAATTTGGGGGCAATGAGAAAATCAAACCTTGTGTGCACCTGAATTTGACCAATACCAATACCTGAGATGTATTAGCAGAATTTTAGAGAGAATCCTTCCATATGACCAAAAAATTGTACAATGGTTAAAATTATTTTAAAAAATAAACTACAGGAGATCAAGAATAGAAGAACATTACTCTTGCTCTTTCTTGCCAAGTTGAGTAGAAATAACCTCCGCGAGTGTCTTTGCTGCCAAAGGAAGGCCTTCGCACCTGTAAATAATTTCATCCTTCATTCTTAAAAAAGCTTGGTGATGATCTTTAGTTACGTATCTCTTTCTTCGAATTGAATCAATGAAAGTTGACCAAAGTGCCTCTGCATCGAATGTGGGCTCGAGTCTGAGCAAATTTTTCTCACCCACCATGCTTATGGCTACATCTTCAAATCTACTGGTTACAATGATGGCACCCCCAACCCCCTTTGGCAAGCCATGAGTAAAACGGCTAATGTACTCTGTGCATACATTGTCCAGTACAATCAAATACTTCTTTCCCAATAATTCAGTCAGCTTCGCATCAAGATCCTGCAACTGATCATATTTGGCGCCCAAATGCTTCACCAAATGAGTTACAATTTCTTGTGGATCTGCTTTTAAAGATAGCCTAACCCAAATTACCGGAGAAAACTCTCTCATGGATGGGCGATTATGGACAACCAATCGAGCAAGAGTAGTTTTGCCAACACCACACATTCCCACAATTCCAATGGCCTTAATACCATCATTAGCAGGTGTCTCCTTGAGCAATGCTTCCATCTTATCCAACTGGGTAACGAACCCATGAGTCTCGGATGCATCCAGAGGTCGAATATTCTCTAGTAGATGAACTGTGATAGAGTCTGGTTGAAATGAAACTTCACGAATTACATCATCCTTCGTTTCTTTCAGCTTTTCTGCGATTCGAATTAGTTTCTTTCCAGTTTTTCGAAGAAACCAATACTTCTTCAAGGGACGGGCATTGACATAACTTTTCTTTTCCTGAGCTTTGAGCTTTCGCTCCTTCTCTGCTGAGAGAACGCACTTTGCCAACAAGTGCCTGAGATCATACAGCAAATTCTTCATCACAATAGGGGTTTTGTCGATGCTCTTTTCTTCCAAGACCTGTAGGATCTCCTGGAAATGAAGACGGAGGGGAAGCTCACCATGGAATTCATCCACTGCTTCTTTGAAGTCAGTGATGAATCTGTGCTTAAGAAATTGTAAATGATCAGCTGCCATGTGATTTTTTTATGCTTTTAGCTATCAAGTTATTTGTCTCCTCTCTTGTATATAAAATGCAACCCAATACTACTTCTGAGTTCTGTGCCTCAAGGAAGTTGCTTTGGATCGTGTAATAAACCTACTTTTGAGCATAAGACCAACGAAGTCAAAGTCTTGCCTTAGCCTACCGTTCACCCTTATTACTTTCAGGGCTAAGTATATAAAACACCCATAAGATTTACTTTTTTTAGCAAATAACACCATTTCTTTTACTATGGATATATATAATTCTCTTAAAAATTTAAAAAAGTTGCAAAATAGGACTTTTCGGCAATCAACCATTATAAAAGTAATACCGTTAACAAACGTGTCTTGAACATGACTAATTAACTGTATTAAATATGAAATGCCCTTATTTGATTCTGAAAATCCCCTTACCCTTTTTGTATATAAATGACATAATAGCCATTCTACACTAATTGATTTTTTTACAATTTTTTATTTTAATTGTAGGAAGGATATTTTAGTATTTTTATCGCTCCATTAACGGCCGAATGATGGGAGGTCCTTATTCGTCACTAAAATAAACGTTAGGGGATTTTCATAACCTATAAGGGGTTATATGAGTTATATGCATGCTATAAAGGTATTAAATGCTTATGACCCCTTATTTTTATTCGTAATTTAACTCCATTAAGAGAGCTTGCTCAAAAATATGAGCTCTCTATATTCTACTATTAGATTGAGAGACTGTTTTTAAAACTTTGAATCTTTAAATAAATCATTTGATATGTCTCTTAATCTAGCAGTAGGATATAGAGAATTGATGACTTGTTGTTAGGGCATGAAAGTGGAAGAACAATCACCAAAAAATGCACAAATGATTCTAAATAAGTGCAACCAGTTGCACTTTTGTAACCTTCTTGCCCAAGTGTCCAAAGATAGAGTGTGAGAAAAAATTCATGGCTAAAATTCTGTATGCCTCGGTCCTTGGAAGTTTGATGTATGTTATGGTGTGTATGAGACCAAACATTACATATGTAGTGGGAGTAGTAAGGAGATTCATAAAGGATTTGGGCAAGCTACACTGGAAGTAGTGAAGTGAATATTGAGATATCTACGGGTACCACAGACAAATGTTTATGTTACAGAAGGGGTGAGGTGAAAGTACATGGTTATGTAGATGCAGACTTTGTTGGTAAGGTGGATCATTAAAGGAGTACTATCGGGTATGTTTTCACGGTGGGTACTATTGCAGTTAGTTGGGTTTCGCAAATATAACATATTATAGCATTATTTATTATAGAGGCAGATAATGTGGCTATGACTAAGGCCATCGAGGAGATGATTTGGTTATAGGGTTTGTTGGCCAAGTTGGGATTCAAACAAGTGAAAAGTGTTTTGCACATTGAAAGTCATAGTGCAATACATCTGGCAAAGAATTTAGCATTTCATTCGAGAACCAAGCATATAGGACTTCTGTAATAACCCTAGATTTTTCAACCCAGTGTGTCCTGTGATGACCCGAAACGGATCCAAGATGCGGAAACAGAAGAAGAAAAATGGCCTCAAGGGATGTACGTTATCCCTAAGGCACCAAGATGATTCCTCATGAAACCACGAAATTCAAATGAGCCAAGCAATGAAGCAAGAATGCCAAACCCGAAAAGAAATGAACTAAGGGCATAATGGTCATTCCACACAGAAATGGGTACCACCGTACACACCATTGGAAAGACAACGAAAAATGAACCAAGTTAGACCCAAGAATCGCCTGATTTTGAGTCCGAACGGAAAATATATGAAATTAAAACAAAGTGGCCTTCTCCGTTTAAGAGTTACCACGACCCTATCCTACTAAAACTGGAATAACTCTCACTACAGTTGGAGTTTTGGAGTGTGGTTGGTACCATTGGAGAGCTAACTTCAAACTCTTGAATTTAGACTCAAGAACGACCAGATTTGGACTATAAATAAAGGAGATATGACACTCTGAAGTCGATGCAACAAGGCTAAAAGAAAAACTGAAATGGAGAAGCTGCAGGGAGGATCAGTCGACCGACGGCAAGGATCAGCCGATCGAAACACCATCGTCAGCCGGCCGAACCCCTATCGTCAGCCAACCGCAATGCCATTTTTCCTAAAATGGCTATAGGAATTGGGTCTAGAGGCTCATCAGCCTGGTGATGGATCCTCATCAGCCGACCGACACATCTGCTGTAGCAGAAAAAGCTGCTGCAATGTGTGTGTGTGGTGTTTCGTCCGTCTCTAAGGTTATACATGGGCTCTACATGATCTGAACATGTTTGAAAATATTCCCTAACCTCGTGCAAGCCTCCAAAACATGCCAAAACAAAGAGGAACTTAAAATGACACTCCCATGTATGAATTTTTCATAAAAATTCATAAAATCGCCTAAAAATAGGTCAAAAGTTGAAACTTAGGAGTTTTATAAAAAGTGGATATGCACACAAACGTAAAAAGACATTTAAGACGCATTCCAATGGTCCGCGGCCTTAAAATGTCCTAAATGCAAAATATGACCTCTCAACTGTCAAAAATGCCTTAAAATGCAATAAATGAAACCAAAGTGCGAAACCTAGAGCAAAATGGTGTTTGGACCTTGGCCACACCTCATGTGTGATCATAGAAACTCTATGAAAGAAAAAGAATAGAATTCCCACACCCGATGCAAACATGGTGAGGCAAAGACTCAACATTTTTCAATATTTTCATAGTGAACCTTGAAAACGAAAGTGCATAGAATACATATTTGTTGCCATTGGCCTATGGCCTCAACTCATATATGTCAAATACGTTGAAAAGAGTGTACTTATATATACTTTACATATATGGAATCAAAGATACAAGTTTTGATATACAAGGTTATAAAATGACATTTTATGCTAACATTTGCATGAAATGAAAATTTAAAAGCTACAAATCATCCAAGGAATGATGAGTATCCCGAAACAAATCCCCAGTAACTTCGGGGTGAGTAATATAAAGTTACTCGTACGAAGTGAGCATGCATAGACCTAGCATTTTACGATTTTATCACCTTAAGGTGAAACATGTCAAAGGGCTCATGCCACCTAACGTCTATGTCAAAATGAGACTCAGGGAACATCCTAAACTATCTTAGAGTGTAATCAACATGAATCATAATAGGTATACACATATGAAACGAATCAAGATTGGGATAATCCAAGAAACATGATAAGAAAGAAACTTGAATGTAGATCAACATGAATTGCATTATCAACACAATTAAGCAAGGTTTGGAATAATCCATACAACACGATAAGAAGATACTAGAATACAAGGATCACATTATCAATACAATTAACATGATTGGAACATTCCAATTACCACGATAGGAATAATATATGAAATCAAGGATAAGGCACAATATCTATGTAATTAATGAGATTGGAGCATTTCACATAACACGACAAGTTTTAAATCTTCAAGGAATAGTAACTTAAAATTTAAAGAGTGAAATCAACCAATGTGGAAACTCGGATATAGCCCGGAATAAAACCATACTCTTGGGATCACTTTAGGGCTACTAACCCATGGGTACCTTCCCCTAGTGCACACTATAGTGTAGGGAGCTTTCTATCTCCCGTACTAGAATCAAGTCCTAGCCATGTCAATTCTTGATTGATATCCCAAATTCCAAAATCAACAAGTTGTGCAAGTCATGATAGTATCAAGATACAAGTAATACATTAAGCCATATTCCATGCACAACCAAGATTTTGGAACACACAAGTCATGCCCTAAGTTCACAGCTATAATGGCATATGAAATGTCAAGAAATCATAGAGTGCATCTATATAGACTATAACCTAGATGTAAAGCACATGGAATCTATTGATGTAAATATACCACAAGTATAAGATTAATGATTCAGTTATTTACTAAACAACACATAAGTAATTAAACCATTCCAAGACAATTGTGCAAGTTCATTAAGTACATTAATGAAACCAAGATATAAGGGGTCATGATACTTGATAAAAAGATAAAAGTCCATATAATACAAGTCCGATTCATGAGTTTAACAAGGATTCAAAATCAAGGCATGATTAACTCAAGGGAAGCATAAAAGGGAATTTAATCTACTTAAGGGATTAAGTTCTCAAGATTACAAGGCAAGTCCAATATTCTACGAGCAAATTATGTCAAGAATCATGTCATGAACAAGTTCAATATCAAGTTACAAGCTCATTTCATACAAGACACAACAATGTGAATTAAGTTCCATACAAAGGAAATAAATAAATATAAGTCTCATGACTTATCCGATCATTCTCAAACTGATACACGTGAAGGAACTTGTCAAGAAAATTATGAATACAAAGTTATAACTTAATCAAGCTCATAGAACTATTGAATGGATTTTAATTAATTCATTTAATTAAAATCTCTAAATTTTGAAATTCATCCAAATGGTCTCAATTTAATACATGTCATACAACATGTCAAGACTTGATTTAAAAACATGATACAAGTGAATTCCATGCAAGATACGGCCATGAGTATTAAACTTTAATACTAGAAAATAATTAAATGAAAGATTTCAAAACATAATCAAATATTCTAAATTTAATATATATGAAAGTATATGGCATGCACATCAATAAAATGAAGTCGAAAATTCAATGGAGTGAATAGTGCACTTGGAATAAAATTAATTAATCTAATTAATTAATTATTATTAGATTTTAAAACACCTCCGATTACTCTCAAATTCACATATGTTGAAGAGTATACTAGGGTCTAATATAATATGACATCACATATTAATTTTAAGCTAGATAAGGCCACATGAATTAAATTTTCATTCTAGAAAAATATTAAATAAAAATTTCAATACTTGTCCAAATGCTCTCAATTTAATATATGTCAATGAATATATCAACGTGCAATATACTATCATGCCACATGTTTAAATCAAACTATAACCAACTGGGAAAATCAAATCTCATACAAGAAAATTAAATAATAAAATTCTTAAATTTGATACTAAAGCATGTAATTAAGTGGCATAAACATCAATAGCATGCAATACTTTAAGAACATAAACTATAACACCCCCTACCTCAATTTGAGATGAAAAACTCAAATCCCCACCGAAATAAAAGTGCTCCGAATCTGACGA